TCTAAAGGATGCAAGCAAGCAGCTTGATGAAGAGACACTCAGGGCAAGGTTAAGGGGCCAGAGCTCAGGAGCTCTGTCCGTGTGGGGTAGGGTGAGCTGCCCTTGCAGCACACGGGTATGTGGTTCCTTAGCCTGGAAGCTCCCAGAGCCTCTGTCTTTGGGTGTGTTTGGGGGCTGATTACATAGCCATGGCTGATTAGATCATATGCCATTGGTGATCAGCTCAGCTTTAGCTTCCCCTCATACAGGTCTGGGAGTCAGGATAGAGAGGCTGGGAATCAGGACCCCAAATTCCACTCCTTTCATTGCAAACAGTCCTATATCCTTAGGCCCCGCTACGTCCCGAGCTATCAGTCATCCTGTTAGCTTATGAAAAGATAATTATCATTTTGGAAATTCCTAGGGTTGGGGGAACAGTGTGCCAGGAAACCAAATCCATATGTTTCTTATTGTAACTCTCACTGACACACAGTGAGGGACTCTCAGCTGCCTTCTGCAGGGTGGGTGTGCTCTCCTGAGGCCGGCAGAGGGGAGAGGCACTGTTCTTCTCTTTCCTCGAGCGTGGGACCGTTCTCTAGCAGATGTTGGCCATGTCTGAGAATCACTCACCCCCGATCCCTTTTACCTCGCTGCTTTCTCTGAGAGCGGAAGTAAGGTTAAGTGAGGAAGACTGTGCCAGGTTGGCTTGTCAGGCTGCTGTCCTTCTCTAGAAAGGATCCTCATCTGCCAGAGAATGAGCTTTGAGCTGCGGTTGCATTTACCTACAAACATGAAAATTCCGTCAGTGGCAGTTTAGACAGGAAAATGTTCATCTCAGAAACAAGAGGACCCGGGCTCAGCAGCCCCGCCTGCAATGCCAGCCCTGAGGGCATGCAGTTTTTCCATCTTTTGGAGCCACATCCTCAGCATGTGGCTTTTGTCATCGTGCTTATACCTCTTGATTGTATGATGACTGCTCCACCTCCAGGCATCACATCTGTTTTCCAGGCAAGAAAGATGGAGAATAATGTGGAGGTGACTGTAAAGGGCTCCCTTAGACATTGTTTTTATGAAGGTGAGGGAGAAGGATATACTCTTTAGGGGCTGCTACACTTTTTACACATGGGTCAGAAATGTGGCAAATATCCCATTCCTTCATGGGAGAAAGCCTGGAAAAGGGAATATCTTTAGTTGGGCTTATTGTCTCCCCAAATAAAACTGGGGTTTGAATTGAGAAGGGAAAATGACTTTTGGGTCGGTCCTGGCTGTTTTCTGTGGCCTGCCCCTTCGAACTAAGATCCAGCAGTCACAGGGTAAGATCCTCTTACCATAAAGATGCTTCGTAATAGGAAGGGTTAGGTACATTAAGCAGGACAAAGGTAATTTCACCTGAATCTAGACGCTTCTTAGAAGTGGGGAACTTTTCAAAGGGTTTGAAAGCCTGAAACAGTTACCTGTTAGCTGAGGACAGACAGAAGTGACTGAAATGAAGGACGGGAACCGAGAGGCAGTGAAAGAAAGCAGAAGATGGAAAAACGAAGTGGGGAAAGTGTGTGGAACCGGAGGCTGTGTCAGCGTCGGCGAGTGGTGGCTTTGTGAGCTCGTGTGAACATCTCTGGCGGGAGCAGGTGGTCAGCAGGTGAGGGCGGGCTGCTGGGCGCACAGCTGAGGGTGCCCAGGCAAGGCAGGCAGGGCTAGCAGGCACGTGGGAGCCAGGCAGTGATGGCCACTGGCGGCTCAGCACATGAAGTCACTGAGCTGGACACTCGTAACTGCGCTCTGGGCTGGGTGTCCCAGCAAGGAGAAGCAGCGTGGGGAACGTGAAGTCTGCAGCGATGATGATGGTAACAGCATCAGCAGCTGCTGTTTGCCAAGCCCTTCTGTGCACATAATGAGTGACACTGTGGTCAACAGCAGAGCTTCCGTATGACAGTGTCCCGTAAAATGCCTGGTGACATCATGGCCTGCTTAGCTTGTATATGTGCCTTCTGTGATGCTCACATGATGATGAAATTGCTGATCCATGTATATCCTAATCATTATGTGACAGAGAACTGTATCATACTAAAACGCTTTGTCTGAATTGTTTGATTCTTAGCCCAACCTCTCGAAGTAGACTGTTGTGTTCTCACCAGTTTCAATGCCTTCCCTAAGAGCACATAGCTAGGCAGTGGGAAAGCTTTGATTCAAGTCCAGCCATCTGTCTTAGCCTGTCCTGTTGCCTGACAAAGTAGAATAGATCAGGTGATTTATCAATAATAGAAATGTATTTCTTACAGTAATACTAGAATAATAGAAATGTATTTCTAGAGGCTGGGAAGACCAAGATAAAGCACCAGCAGATCTGGATCCTGGCAAGAGCTGCTCTATGCTTCAAAAGCAATATATAGTAGCTGTGTCTTCCAAGTGGCAGAAGGTGAGGGATGCGAGGGCCTCGTGCACTCCCTTTGGCCTTTGGTCAGGTGCGAAGCTCTCTGCCCTCTGGAGCTGATCACCTAAAGGCTTCACCTCTTACACCTCTTACTGCTGCAGTGGGGCGTACATTGTTTCAATATGAATTCTGAACAGAGCTCAACATTCAGGCCATAGAACTCTTGGACTCCAGAGTGCATGTTCAGAACCACTAGTTTCAGGCTGTTAGTCTTAGTCAGAGTCTAAGAGCAGAGCCCAGCCACACAGTGTGGCTGGCCTGACCCTAAGCATTCAAGTTGGGCCTTCGAGTTGGACCTGGAGAACAGGAGGGCTGGCTTCTGAGCCGCCTGTGCTTGAAGGCTCAGGAGGTATAGGTAGATGTTCTCTATCCAGCTGTGTGCTGGGGAAGGAAACTCAGAGTTCTTGTTAAGTAGGAAGAAACGACTGGGGATGTTAGGAGCGCGTGAACAGGTTAGGAGAGGGTGTCAAGGGAAAGTGAGGAAGTCATAGCAAGTTCTGACAAAAGGTAAGAAAGACAAGGGAAGTTACCAAGGAGGAAAAGGCCTTGGTTCTTAAATAGGATGGGGATTCAGATCATCTTAGTTATCCCTAAAAACAACTGAAAAGAGAAAGAAGGCTCCCTTCTTTTCCTCCTCATTTTTTGGTTTTGTGGTTTGTCCCCTGCAGTGTTGACTTGGGGGGTCTGCTCTGCACATTATGTTTTCTTGATTGAAATTTTAGAGCAAAGATAAGCCAGTTGTGGGGAAAGGGGCTGCTTGGGGGTTCCCGGAGTAGAGAATGGTATTGGCAGGAGTGGATGGGAATGAGGGCCAGAGCTGGGGAGAGACCTGAGCAGTGGTGGAATCTCACTCCCTCCGATTGGAGGTGGAGAAAGTAAGGTTTGGAAAGTTTCAGTGACTCTGTGCTGCCCAGTCATAGAAGGGCCCTTAAATGTCACATTGCCCCACTGCCCAAGGTCACACCGCTACGCAGGATAATGGAATGTGCCTCACATTCTGTGCTGCCCATTCTCAAACCTGGAGTGCTGAGCACAGAAATGAGATGTTGATCACATAAAGCATTCTTATTGAACAGAAAAACTTTTAAGGCAAAAAGTGTGTGTCCCCAGAGCCAGCCAGCCTGTGCTGAGAGGGACTGGCTGCCTTGCAGCACGAGCAGCTGGAAGCCAGGAGAGGGTGATGAGAGACACCAGCCACTGGTTAAAATTCTCCCCACAGAAACCATCTTCCTGTTGTCCGTTAGATGGATTTGCTCTCTCTCTCAAAAAAAAAAAAATGCATCTGTGAACATTATACCTATTTCTTCCCTCTTCTTTTCTATGTTTTATTGAGAAGCAACCAAAAGCAGTTTTAATATAAGCAGCAGCCTATGTGTAGGTATAAATATGCACGTGAAATAGAAGCTCCTCACATAATCTGGGTTTTCTTCTGTGTTGGAGCTCCTCTGACAACAGGAGGACCTTCTTTTGGTGCACTTACCTGCTGGCCAGTCCCGGTGTGCCTGTGGGCTTTGAGGTGGAGAGGGCCACAAGATGTAATAGAGGAGCAGAGAAAATAATAGGCTCACAGGAAGTCTTTGCAGGTGTCTCTGTTACAAAGCAGAAACTTCTCCTGGGGAGAGGTAAAGACCCGCTCCATACGGCAGTTAAAACTGAATTGAAATGAAGATTTCCAGAAGCTCGGGGAAGTTTACCTCTGCCTCTGCCTTGTGAGCTACTTGTTTCAGTCATGGCGTCCTGCCTCATTTCACTCTGCATGCTGGGAGCTGTGTTTCCGCAAGACTGGTGGCAAATCATACAGCTCTCCGTCTCCAGCAGCCCGCAGGCTCTCTGATAGCGGGAAAGCCTCCGTTTGCAGCTGGCTGCTGGAGGAGTGACAGTGTCTTCTGGTTAATTCTTGTGCTGCTTTTACATTGCCGCAAAATACAAAGTGAGTTGCAAATTGCATATTCGTTGACATGGCTCTTTATATGTTGGTTTAAATAACTTGAAGAGGGAAAAGAACCCCATGGAAATTAACCCCTGGCCCCGCAGCTCCTCCCTGATCACTGACCCGTGGCAGTGCGTGTACTTATAGAGTACAGTGGGCATTACTTAGTGCAGTCCGCCTGCTTGCCCAGCCGCTCCGGCACCAGCCTCGTTTGCAGCAGCCACATCGGGTTCCCTTGCTAATTCCTGCCGCGCACGGCCCCTTCATGCGTCTGGCCTGTATTCAGGTTGTGTCCTTCCTTCCGAGGCTTTCCTGCCTGTCTACCAGAAAGCCTTCCCAGTTTCTCCCCACCAGAGTGGCTGCTTCCCTCTTCTGTGTTTCTGTGACGTTTCGCTTGCGCCAGCCTTACCCGTCCTGTGAATTTTGGGCCATTCTAGAGCTAGCAGCACAAACCAAGGGCTCATGTGTGAGCCTTGCTCGGCTTCTAGCCCAGCTCTGCACCCAGCCGGCGTGGGGCTCCCTTCAGGGCCCTCAAGCAACTCCTGCTTGCTATTTCCTCACCCAGCCAGCGGCTACCCAGCTTGGATGGTAGCGGGACCTCTCAGGCCCTGTACTATGAGTTTAGTATTATTTCTGTAATATTGTTTTCTCCCACAAGATTCTAAAATCCTGAATAAAAGATCCCTGTTTCTCAGCACCTCTCATTTGTGCCTGGTAGATAATTAGCAATCTAGCAAAGACCTCTTGAATAAAACAAGGTTAAGATACCTTAGAGCTCTAAACCCTCAGCCACTTTTTCCAGAGGGCAGATATTTAACTCACTGTATATTTTCTCACGCCTGTTTTAAGTAACAAAAGCTGTTCTGTTTATTTCATCCTTTTTTTCTTCCTAAAACAGAAAATCCTTTTAGGAATTTGAATCACAACAAAGATGTCATTTTTAATAATTTCCAGCAGGGGGCAGACCTCACCCAGGAATTGCTGTTGCTTCAAGGGGACACCCAGGACAGGGACCTGCGTTTTCATCTTTCTCCCAGCTGCCTTATTAATGAACTATGCTGACAGGAGGCAAATATGATCTAGTGTGACCTAAAACCCCAAAAATGCCAAAATGTGGGTGTCAGGGAATTTCTGCTTGTCTTTAAGAGAAGGGAGAAAATACAATACCTACCAAAGTTCCCATGTGATGTAAAAACTTCGGCAAGAGAGGAAAGGAGGACGGGCTCCTCAGCTTTCAGGAACCATGTCAGTGAGGAAAAGTCTCCACTAAGGAAGACTTGGGTTCGTGTGGCTCTCTGCTGGTGTTATGCGGACTTCTGAGAGCACAGGACCCCAAGCATCCAGCTCTCTGTGTAGCGCTGCGTGGAGCATGGCCATGGTCCAATCATGGGTTTCTTGCAGTTTCGGGCTGTGAAGCCATATCTGGCAGGTCACTTGGTTTATAAAGTAGACTCCTGGTTTGGAAATTTGCTGGTGACCTCATCTGGAACAAAAATGCCTTCTTTTTCTCAGAGGGGGGTCACATTTACCTCAGCGAGGTTTAGAAGCAATTGCGTGATTTTTATTGGACATTTTAGAATTATAAGGGTGGAGAACATTGCAAAAAGATGGCACTTTGATTTCTTTTCCTCAGAGGAGCAGGACATTTTTAAAATGTGAAGTAACTTTGGTGCCTGTTTAGCTCTAATCTCATTCCTGCTCTTCTGCTCACCAATTTTTCTTTATGAATGTGGCCTCAGGCTCACCAACAAATACCTGTAATCTAAGCTACTTGGAATGCTGAGGCAGGAGAATCACAAGTTCTAGGCCAGCCCGGGCAACTTAACAACTTAGACCCTGTTTCGAAAGGGGGGTTGGATGGGACTGGGGATGCAGCTCAGTACAAAGGCCCTGGGATCAATCTCCAGCACCCTCAGAAAAAAACAATTTTTGGTTTTTACAGTGAGCATCCTACTGTGACTTTAGCTTTTTCTCACCTGCAACAAGTAGTAGTTGCTCCCCATTGCCAAAACTTCACATTCCTCCGCGGGTTGGGAGCAGTGCTGTGTGAGGGGTGGGCCAGGAGGACCTTCCCAGGGCCTGTATGGGCTCCAGTGCCCTCTTCTGGACTGTCAGAAGCCTGTTCTGACATACAGCAGCAGGGAGGTGAGTCCAGGGTCTGGTATGCGCCATGGATATTAAGCGGCTTCAAGGACACTCTTCCCCATTTATCCCAGTTATGTCCCCTGCTAAAACAGGTTAACGGTGTCTCATTAACCACTGAACATTGTCATGCTGCATAAAGATAGCATCCTGGCTGTCCTCTGAGCCGTGGTACTTTATCTCCATTTAGATCTCTGCAGCGTTCCATTACAACATTTCAGCTGGGATGGTGTCTGCATCGGGGCTGCCTTGCAGCCTTCATATGGAACCTGGCAGCAGCAGGGAGGGCCTTGCGCTTGGTGGCGGGCTCTGTAGGTTGCTCTGGGCACCCTACCCCAGAAGCCACGGGTCTGTGAGACCACTGGTGAGCCTCACAGACACAGTCTTGCTTGTGTGGACTCTCGATCACGGTGACCAGGCCAGGCCCCTGACTCAGCAGGGGAACAGTGAGGACAAGTTGTGCAAGCTGGGAGAGTTCTCACCTCATAGCACATCTTTACCCTGGAGCCCCACAGTGCAACCAGCCCTGCATGGCTGCAGTCATGGGATGTGGCAGCAAGATGGAGCTTGTCCTCAGTGACTAAATGCACATCAGTGTGGCCTCTGAATGCCGAGAAAGGGGATTGCATTTCAGCAAAAGAAATACAAAAGGAAAGGAATTGGGTGAGGATGACTTAGCTAGACAGGCTCTTTTTAGCTAAAAGGCAAGCTATTGTGTTGCAAGTAAAACATACATAATAAATCCCCCAGAACAATTAAGCCAGGGTTGTCAGGCCTGGCAAAGCCACAGCCCTTTATAGGTTGAAAGCATGCCCTCATGGAAAGTACTCACTGTATTTGAAGCAGAGTCTGCAGAAGGAGCGTTCTTCTCTGTGTGGAACTGCTGTATATCTATCGCAGAGAAGCTAAGAGCTGGATTCTTCAGCAGGTTACTTTGCCTGTGGGAGCGCAGGTCTCCTCACCTGTAAAATAAGGTAACATGGTCATTCTATGACACTATGTATAATGGCATGAGAATACAGCATACAATGATAGTAATGCATGAGAATGTCTGGCTGGTGCCCAGCAGGCTCAGCGAATGCTGCCTGCCATTGTCCTCAGGTGTGTCTAGGAAGAGCCCGCCTGAAGGAAGAGTGGCTGCATTAGCCATCAGACTGGAGAACTAAGTAAGCAGAGGTCAGGGAGAAGCTGGGATGCAAACCAGGAGGGCACCAGCAGAGAGCTGAGCAGCGGCCCAGGCATAAAGGAAGGTGGCAATAGAAAGATGACTCCCTGCCCCGTGCCCGAGAAAGGCACCTGTAAATATGAGGTAGCTTCATGGATGACTGTTTTGGGCAGTTGTCAAAGACCTACACCGAGATGACCACAGTTTTCCCCTTGCCTAGCTACTGACCACGTCAGGCATATCACAGGGAAGGAGGAAGCCAGCATGTCCTTCCTTCTGTCACCTAAGCCCATGATGCAGGAGGTGAAGAGAATATTTACTCTGATTGTCCAGAAGGAAAGCTCTGCTCTACAAAATGACCAAAGCAGTCAGCAAGTGATGGACTAGCTCTTAAAAAGAAACCTGGCATTTAATTAACTTTTCAGAGTGCTGGTTCAGCGTTGTCCAAGCTATATAGTTTGCATATTGAACGAGCATCTCTAATCCGGTCCAAACTGCTCTGGCCTGCTGAGTACCAATGCCTGGGACTCCTGTGTCACTCTCAGGACAGCTGACTGGGGTACACAGGCCTCAGTGTAGGCACTTAGGACCCCAGCCATTTCCTTGTCACCTCAGCCTTTAGGTGAAGTGCAAGTTTATTAACACTTCCAGGGGAACTATGTCAGGCAGAAGGGAAAGGCAGGTAGGGTTCAGTTCTGCTGCTTAGCAACTGCACTGTTCAGCCTGATACTTGAAATAAGGTTAAGGCAGTGATTCTGATAGTTGACTGGGGCTTATTTGTAGAAATTACTATCTAGGGGAGCCTAGCACATGTACATCAAGAAACTTCCCAGGTGTGATTTGCGTTGTGTAAAGAACCACCTGTTTAAAGGATTCTTTCCAGCTTTCAATTCTCTGTGCCAGCCACTGCCTTCCATAAGAAGGGACCGTCTGCATAGGAAATCCAAGCAGATGTTGAGGTACCCTCAGGATGCAGGGAAATCAGCTGAAGCCTGCTTCTGAAAAGACTTGGGGCGATGCGTGTGGGCCCTCAGGTGAGAGTCTAGTTTCACCTTGTCACCGATGAGCCCTGTGATTTGGGCTGCAGTGGGCAATGCCCTTGTGTGTAAATGGAGCTGCTAAAACTACTTTGAGAGCTCACCCAAGGCCGTGATAGTCTGTGGAGACCACCGAGAAGTCTCTGTGAGCGCTTCCTGTAATCCCCAGGTGATTCTGACTGTCGCCAAGTTCCCAGCTCTTTGGTAGCTACATCCAAGGGAGAAGGCTCAAGGCCCCTGGTGTAGGAGTGGGTAGAAAGCCCAGGGCTGTGCTGACCACGGCTGTGCAGACTGTCTGCCGTGGTGCCAGGACCAGGCCACACGGGCCTCAGTTTCCTCAAGTTAGCAAAAAGGGTGCCTGTGAGGAGGGGGTGACCTAGGACCCACAATTTCCCCCTCAGCTTCTTTGCCCAAAATCTGTAGGAGGCACATCTCACCACCAGGTCCTTCTCTACTTACCCACTTTGGGGGGCTGTGGTAGGCTACTGCGTTTTAGGTTTTTGTTTCTTTGGTGTTTTTAACCCCTCACTAGGAATTTTAAAATACATCCCATATTATGATGGGTTATATGTATACATAAGGCTAAAACCAAAAGCTTACATATAAAACTTATTTTTCTTGCATTAATTCTTTTTTATGCTGTAAAAAAGAAGAAAAAAAGTGCTGATGGTAATCTACCAGACTTGCCTCATGACTCTGTAATGGGTCATGACCTGTAGTTTAAAACACGCTGTGCCAGATTCTGTGTATCCTGGGCTCTAGGTAACTGTACCTCCTGAAGTCTTTGGGGACTAAGCATATGCAATAAATCCACAAAGTGGTGTTTTATACCATATTCCTGAAATCCTGTATGAATTATTATACATTTGTATTTCTTTTTTGGTACCAGGGATCAAACTCACGACTGCCTGCTTGCAAGGCAGGCACTTATGCCGCTGAACTAAATCCCCAGCCCCCAAATCCTGCTTTTTCCTTTTTTTTTTATTGGTACTGGTGATCAAACCCATGACTGCCTGCTTGCAAGGCAGGCGCTTATGCCGTTGAGCTAAATCCCCAGCCCCTATACATGTGTATTTCTTTAAAGAAACACACTCCCTGCCAGTTCTCTGAGACGTGCCTCCACTTCGCCTGTCTTTTGTTTTCCTACATTTGATGTCCACCTCCAGTGGGAAACACTCACTTGTCTCCTGATTCCTGTAAGAAAGCCATCAGTGTAGACTCCGTGATTTGGAGCCGGTCCTCTAGGGATCCTGGAGGGGGCAGAGTCAGGTTCTTCGGCTGCAAGCCCAGAGTTGCCAGGCTTTTTATCAGGAGAATCTAGGTATCTGGATGGACTTCAGTACACAATCTCCCCATTTGAACAGTGAATTCATGTTAAATAAAGTCAACTGGCCCAGAAAAAACTCATTTACAGGCTGGAGAAGGCCTAAAAGTGACCATTCATCATCTGTGACCCAGATCAGTGGCAGAGGCTCCATCCCACCAGGCAGAAGACGCCCCAGAACCTGTTATTTCTAGCAGAGGGACCAAGAACACACCACCTGAGGGCATCCCTGCTGCCCATGCCGGGGAGCCGCTGTGATCTCCTCTTTCCTCCGTGGAGGGAAATGAGGTGGGTGGGGCTCCCCCTAGAGGGAGAGCAAACAGGATGTGGGCTCCACAGCAATTAAGCTGAATATTAAATTCACCCCCTTTTCTGTTGTTGAGTGGATGGATGGCAATTAAGCAGCCTCTCCCCCCCACACCCCCGAAGATTAACACTGTCATTATTGTTTCTTTCCAAGATGCGCACAGCTCATGTGCAAATGGCAGTGCTGGCCAGGGTCCCAGCCTCGTACCCTGTCGGTCTGCTCTTACCCGTTTTCGTCCAGCACTCCTGCTGTAGCATACTGCTGGAGTCCTTTGGACAGTGAGGCTGTAGCTTCATGAGGACGGTTAGGAGCAGCGGTCCTAAGCCACAGCAGGAGCCAAGACAAGAGCTTCCCGTCCTTCCACGCAGGAGGGGACTTGGCAGCTCTGGAGGATTCACTTTCTCATGCTTTGCCTTGAAACAGCGTGGGGTTCCTCAGTACACAGCAATGCCATGCCGGTGACGCCCGCAGCCTCCTGCTGTGCTTGACCTGGCTTCCCTCACTGCCCCCTTGCGGGCTCTTTCACCCTGCTACTCAGTCTCCTGTCTTTAAGACTCAGAAGCTGCAGCCTGGAAGGTCTTCCTGTTCTTACAGCTTCTGTGCCCATTCCCTTTTCCTCCTGAGTTCAGCCATCATTTTCTATTTCTTTCAAATGACGTGTGGTTTAATGACCTTTTAAATGGTACCATTGATGTAGTCCAAATTTCAGGGAAGGTAATCTATTTTAAACTTGAGCTTAACTTATTTTTACTTTTTGACTTTTCTCCTTGGAGGAGTTATTTATATCTTGTAGGACTTGATGGTTGAGTCCGGTCCAGCTCTTACCCATAAGGTCTGTGGACCAGACTGTCAGGGCTTCTGGTGCATCCTGCCTCTGGGCTCTGGGTGGCGCTGTGATCCTGACTCCAAAGAATTCATTTAAAACAAAAATACCTCTGTTATTGTGGAAATTCTCAGACTTACAGAAATATCAACACCATGTACCCCACATTCAACTTTAATCATTGTCAGCGTTTTGTTAACTTAGCAGACTTTTTTTGTTTTGGTACTGGGAATTGAACTCAGGACATTGCACTTGCCAGGCAGGCACTTACGTCACTTGGCTATATCCCCCCTTGTGTGTGTGTGTATATGTGTGTGTGTGTGTGTGTGTGTGTGTGTGTGTGTGTGTTTTGAGATACAGTTTCACTATGTAGCCCAGACTGGCCTGAACTCACAGTGATCCTCCTGTCTCAGCCTCCCAAACACTGGGATTATAGGCGCATAACTATACCTGGCACTTAAGAGGCTTTAAATTAGCCTTTCTCAGAGAGTCAGTAGTGACGTGAATTTAGATGAGAAGAACATGAAACTTTATTTAAAAGTCATGGTGCTGGCTCTCCACCCCTAGACCAGCTGAGTCCAAAGTCTCTTATTGCCAGGCCTGGCAGCCTGCAGGCCGACCCGGCTTGCCAGATGGATTTCACACACCTGATGTGTGAGAGCTGCTGCTTCAGGAAAGGTGAGTCAAGTAGATGCTTTGTTCTCATGGGGCATCTCAGGAGCATCTTGCTCCTCCCCAGCACCACTTACAGAGTCTCTGGTCCTTCATGTGAGCGGCACAGCACAGTGGTTGCTGGGCCTGTGCTGGAGCTTCTGCTCCTGAAAAGCTGCTCACGCTTACAACTGACTCTCCCAGATGAGACCCAGAGCCTTGCCATAAGGCAGTGCTTCACCAGTGGGTATCAGGGGAGGCACCACATCACCTCTGTTGGTTTGAAGTTTCCTGTTGAACCTGCACTGGACTTGTGCTGGGATGAGGTGCTAAGAAGGCGCTGTGGGGTCTGTGATTCCCTCCTGCTGCGGTGGGGCCTGGACAAATAGATTTGGGGTGTACTGAGTTGGTCCTGCCCTGGAGACCCTTTTTTAACTCACTACTCCAACCCATGGCTGTGTGGGTTCTCAAAAACCTTGTCTTTTTATTTTTCAGGTTGGGAGGGAAGGCTTCTGAAGAGATAGAAGAGTACGTCTCCTGCGTTTCTCATGGTGACCCTTCTCAGCAGTGCAGTCTCGCTGGTCATTAGGATTCAGCCTGTGTTGAATACAGAATTTTTTAAAAAAGTGAACCTAACTGTGGTGGGACGGTATTGTGTACACTGCATTGAGAGTTTGGGTAATGCTGTCCCAGCCGAGGGTCTGGACTGTGCCATTGAGCCGGGTTAAGTCTCCCACTGTGGCTTTTAAAGTTGTATGCCCAAGTTTAGGGTATGACCTCAAAGCAGTGCCAGATTCTTAAAATCTGGCCTTCTCCTAAGACATCAGAAAGAAAGGAAAGCTGGGCATGGTGCCACACATTTGCAATCCCGGCCATTCTGGACGCTGAGGCAGAAGTACTGTAAATTGAAGTCCAGCCTGGGCAATTTAGTGAGACCCTATCTCAAAGTAAATAACAAAAAAAGCACTGGGGTGTAGAGACAGAGCACCCCTGGATTTGATCCTTCATAACCACCCCACTCCCCAGCAAGAAAGTTTCTAGAGAAAGGTGACTGTAAGAGTCTATGACGGGGGATGCATGCATGTCCTGGTCTGTGTAATGCTGCCTTCCCTGGCAGTGTATCACACCACCTGTGCCGCTGTACAGGGCAGACTTGGTGCCATTTTTATTGAGGAAAAAAGAATGAATACAATAAAAAGTAAAAAGAGGGCTGTTTCTTTCTGTGTCAAAACTCACTTGCATCTCTCCTTTTCTTCTTTTTTGGGGGCCAGTCACCGCCTCAGACAGCAGAACCTGGATGAATCCGATGATGGAGGTAAGTTGCCCTTAAAGGATATCAAAAAGGTTGGTGGAGAGACCCAGCCCCCCAGGAATTTCTTGGGCTGCGGCCCTACTGAACACCTCTGCAGGAGTCTCGCCACTCAGGCCAGGTCACTGTGCGTCCCCACTGAGGGTTCTGTCTTCTGCCTCAGTGCCTCATGCCCTTCTTTATTACTAACCTTACTTGTCCTCAAAACCCAGCTGAAGTAGCACCTCCTGGCAACCTTCCCATCCCATCCTACTCCCTGTCTGGCTCAGATATTTTTTTTTCTGTGTTCTCACCACCTCCCTGATAAACCTCCACTGTAACAACTAGAACAAATACTAATTGGGTGTTTATTATATGCCAGGCATTGGCCCTGCCAGTTCTGCCAGCATCTCTATGTTAAAGCAAGACTCAAACCACAACCCTGTAAGGTAGTATTATTGTCGTCACTGTTTTGCACTCATGGAAACCAAGATGTAGAGAGGTTAAGTTGCCTGAAGTCACAGCGCTTCTAGGTGACGAGAGCCAGTATTCGAGACCAGGTAGGAGGTATCACACTTTATTTTTTTGTTAGATTGATTGTTTTCTCCCCAGGCTTTGAGCTCCTTGATGACAGGTACCACCTCTTATTTATCTTTGCATCACAGTACATGACACACAGTAGTCAATTAGTATTGACTCTGTAGATGAGAAGGAAACAGGACTGAAAAAGCCAGCAGCTGGGGCTCAGCACAAGCCTGTGTTCAAAACTGGAAAGATAAATTCTGTGTGTATCTCTGGAAAGACACTTCAGGAGTAGAAGTTATGGTTGGATATGAAAGTCTGCTCTGGTTTGGATATGAAAGTCTCCCAGAAGCCTCGTGTGTTCAGAGGTAGAGCTTTTGGGAGGCGATTGGATCATGAGGACTCTGATTTCATCATTTGACAGCACTATGGAAGGTGATAGAAACTCGGGAGGGGGTCTAGTTGAAGGGATACGATCTTGGGGACTGTTTCTGGGCTCTGGTCCTTCTCTGGTTCTTTCCATTTCTTTCTTGTCTTGGGCCACCACGAGGTGATCAGCTTTCCTTGCATGCCCTTCCTTCATGATTGTCACAGGCCTAAAGCCGTCCCGGTCAGTCCTGGACTGAAACCGTGAGCCACATGAGTCTTTCTTCTTCTGTGTTATTTGTCTTAAGTATTTGATGACGATTGTGGAAAGTGAACACAAGACCTAACTTAGCAACACTTTTTATTTATCTTTGGACCCATATATTTACCGTTTCCACATTCCTTATTCCTTTGTATATTCTTGTTTTGTTTTATTGAGACAGAGTCTTGCTCTGTTGTTCAGGTTGATCTTAAACTGTGTAACCCCGGCTGGCCACGGACTCACACTGTCCCTCTGCCTCACCTCCCAGGTGCTGGGATTAGAGCCGTGGCCGCCACTCTCGGCCCTGCTTTTGTAGTTTCTCGCTGGCATCAGTTTCCTTCAACTAGAACTTTTAACTTTTCTGCTGCTTCTATTAAGAAAGTCTCTCTTCTTTATTTGTTCGAAAGCCTTCACATTTCAGCAGACATAAAATTCTAGACTGATAATTTTCTTTTTCTTTGAGTCCTTAGTTGTGTCATTGTCTCTTTTTTTTTTTTTTTGTCGTTTTCGTTTTTATCGGTACCAGGGATCGAACTCACGACTGCCTGCTTGCAAGGCAGGCGCTTATGCCGCTGAGCTAAATCCCCAGCCCTTTGTCATTGTCTCTTGTCTTGCCTTATTTTTGATGAGCAGTCAGTAGTCACCCTTACTTTTGTTCCCCTGTGTGTAACGTATCCTTTCCCCTACTAGCCGCTTTTAAGTGTGGTTCAGTGCACACATTTCCTGTTGGAATTCTTGCTCCTGTGGTGTTTCACCCTACAGAGGCCTGACTTAGTATTCAGGTGGTCTAGATGTCTGGAACTTTTCCTTTACATCGCTCCCCAGTTTCTCAGCCTCTTTGTCTCAAATTTCAGCCCCCTAAACTTGAGCCTGTCTCTCCCCATCTCAGCAAAGCCTCCATGCTCTGGCTCGGGTCCTGCCTGCTGTGCCACTGCCCAGGAAGAACTCTAGGCGGAAAGCCAGGAAGACTCTGGGCTTCTTCATTATTTCCCTTTTCTCAGGGGTCAGAGTTGCATGCTGCCTGCCACTGTATGTCTGAGAACAGCATAAACACTCACCTATTTGTTTACAGCAGGAGGCCGGTTACTCTCTCAGCGTCCCAGAACCTTCTTTTAACAGCTTTGCGACTACATACGAAGAGGGAGAGAATTAAATGTGTAAAACTCGGATGACACAGTAATGACAAGATTGTGGTGAGGGTCCAGAGGACATCTGTGAGGTAGCTTCCAGGATGGGGGTAAAATGCAGATTTCCAGGCTGTTTGCAGATCTGAAGCTAGAGCCGGGACTAGAGAAATGAATTAATCTAAGTAAACTGCACAGATAAATACCTGTCACACTGACATATGATGCAGAAGTTTTGTTTGTCTTCTGTGTGTTTCACGGTGCTATGGGTTGAACCCGTGCTAGGCACGTGTTCTGATACTGAGCTGCATCCCCTGGTCCCACCTGCTCTGGTTGCATTGAAACAGTATCTTGCTACATTGCTCAGTCTGACTTCAAACTTATGATCCTCCTGCCTCAGCCTTCTGAGTAGCCAGAATTACAGGCTTGACACTGAAGTTTAGCTGTGGTGCCACTAAAGACCTGTCTAAGGGCAGGAGTCATGTCAACAAGTGCTTTTGCCTCATCTCTTTCTAAAGAGTTCAAGGGGCCAGGGCTTAGCTCAGCAGCGTAAGTGCCTGCCTGGAAAACACAAGGTTGTGAGTTCAATCCCAGATACCAAAGTGTGCGGAGGGGTTTCAAGAAAGAAAAGTAGTCACAAAAGGTCAAAATAGCAGTCTACCTGCTCACCATCCTTCAGCATATTCTTTGCTGTCCAGCCTCATTTCTTTGTGCCAGATTTTCTCTTTTAGTTCTACCCACTGAACTCTGTTTAGCCTCTGGACTTCTCCATCCACTGAGTGCCAGTGATCCCGTTAAGCGGGAGACACATACCTGGAATGCTTCTGCCGGGCTGCACTGGCAGCTTGGAGGTTGGTAGCTGCTGGCCACCACACTTGTGATCTGCCTGTTCTCACAGACTGTCAGCTGCTCCAACCATTGGCTGCATGGGACAGGAGGACTAGAGGCAGCGTCTCCCCTGGGTATTAATGAACGCATGAAGGGGGTGAGGAGCAGTATGTGTGGGAATCGGACTTCTGGAGCGAGATCCTCAGGCCGGGCCTGGGTGAGGGAGGTGCGAGGAAGCTGGCAGTTTGCAGCGTGGAGACCCGGCCAGGCCCCAGTCGCACCCAGGAGGGAGAATACAGCAAGTCGTTTCCTGCAGCAGGTCTTTTTGGATGGCTTCAGTCCCCTGTTGCTTGTGTGCTTGTTCTAACACCAAGAGACTTGTATTTTAAATAGGAAAACGTTAGATTCAGGAAAAAAGATCATAGAGTTCTTTGGCAGAAACTTACAAATTGAAGCACAAAAAAGAATTCAGTTCATGATCCTGTCCAAGGGTTGCTTCACTGGTCCTCTTCCCCCAGCGTCCCCCCTCTGCCATGAACCTCTTTCCAGCTCCTTTCCAAGGACGTCTGAAATTCTCCTCACTCCACTTTCTTCTTATGGAAAAATGCAGTATTTCAAGGAGTGACTTTTCAGTGTTACAGCAAAACCCCAAATGCCAGAGCTGGCACACGTTGTGAATGCGTGTTACCGGGGCCGTGCTGGCTGCTGTTGCACTTGGCCACTTTGGAAGGACATTGCCACAGCCCAGGGAACTCTGGGGGCCCCTTGGGATTAAGAAACTGAGGCCTAGAGATTATTGGATAAGCTAGCAGGACTCCGAGATTCAGGTCCTCTGACTCCCACGAGAACAACCACTCTTGAACCCATTGCCCACCAACAGAAGCGTCAACATTTATTACCAAGTGCTCATCATTGTCTTGTGTCTTCTCCAACTTTAATTCCCAAAACAACCTATGGGAAAGTTTTTGAAAGTTAATTTTACTGAGATCTGATTTGTGTATGATAAACCTTGTCTTTTAAAGTGTACAATTTAAGCAAAGTGTGAGGGCCACACTTGTAATCTAGCATCTGGTAACCTGAGGCAAGAGGATTGTAAGTTCGAGTCCAGCCTGGTCAACTTAGCAACTTAGTGAGATCCTGTCTCAAAACAAATAGGACTGAAGATACAGTTTAGTGTGAAGGCTCTGGGTTCAGTCTCCATCACTGCATAAACAAACAAATAAATGTACAGTTTACAACAAGTACTGGTGGAGCAGCTGTGACAAGGGCCCCTCCTGTATTAGTAGTGGAAATGTAAACTCGTACAGCCACTGTGGAAACCAGAATGGGGAATTGCTCAGAAAACTGAAACTAGCATTACCACTTAACTCAGCTGTTTCCCTTATAGGCATCTTCCTGAAAGATTTAAAGATGTCATGATGTAATGATACATGCATACCAGCATTCATAGCACTCTGATTCTTAATAGCTAAATCTTGGAAGCAACCTGTATGTCCATCGATAAATGAGTGGGTAAAGACAATGTGGTATTTACACACAATGAAGTACTCTGCTACTATAAAGAAGGATGAATGTGAGGCATTTTTAGGAAAATAGAAACAACTTGAAAATATAATATTAAGTGACCTAAATCAGGCATATAAGCTTAAATACTATATGGTTTCTCTAACATGAGAAATTGAAAATATAAAGAACAAAATAAAAAGTGATAAAAGAAGACAGGGAGACAGATCTTTTGCAGATGGGAAGGTACCCAAGAGCTGGAGGGGCAGGGAGAGGGGAGGTAGAAAGCATTAAGATGGGTCATGTACAGGCACGATTCCCTTAGACGCACGTACTCAGTGTGTGTCACAAACATGAGCTGAAACAGCAACAGCCACGAAGACAACGAGAGAAGGGGATTGAGAGGTGGAGGGGGGCCAGAG